GGCGCCCGGCCCGGGGAGGTGGAGGAGACGGTTGCGGCGGCGGCGCGCGAGCCGAGCTAGCGAGCGAGGCGGCGCGGGCAGAGGCCCGGCTCCCGCGGGGCACCATGCCGGGCGGGCGGGTGTGCGCCGTGTGCGGCGGCTCGGAGATCGAGGTGGACGCGGCGCGGGGGGACGCGGTGTGTACGGGCTGCGGCTCGGTGCTCGAGGACAACATCATCGTCTCCGAGGTGCAGTTCGTGGAGAACAGCGGCGGCGGCTCCTCGGCCGTGGGGCAGTTCGTGTCTTTGGACGGTGAGCGGGGGAAGGGGGACGGGGTGGGGGGCCCCCAGTCTCTCCATGGCTGGGGGCTCCAGGACGGGCAACGCTTTCCCTATAGCGGTGGGGGCAGCCCTCCCTATTCACCCACCGGCCTGGGGTATCGTCCAGCACTGCTCCCCCCCCCCCCATCAGCACACTGCTTTAGGGACAGCATGCAGGGGAGAGCTCGCTCGTTATCCTGCGCAAAAGGCATCTGACAGGTTTTCTGACAGGTGAACAGGTCAGTAATTGTGTCTGAATTGTGACCCCCCCCCCCAGCCGTCTGGTTTGTATTGGGTGAGATTTTGTGTTTGGTGCGTTTACTTTCAAGAGTAAAACTTGGGCTGGGGAACTCTTGAGCAGCTGGAGACAAGTGAATATCTCTTTTCCAGTCTTTGTTGTCCGTCCCTTGATATAACTGAAGGGCGGCTTTCAAATATTTTATCAAGCAGTGATGTAAACAAAGGTCCTGATCCTGCAATTGGAGCCATGTGGGCAGACCCCTACGTCCATGTGGATTCAGTTGCAGGATTTGGGGTCTAAGGGCTAGATGCACAAAAGGACATAGGTACCTAACTGACACTTTAAGTGCCACTGAGCTTCTCAAAACCCCAGCTCAGCTGCCACCTAACTCTGTAGGTTCCTACATTTCCCCTTTTAAAGTCTCTTAGGTGCCTAAGGGTTTGTCTCCACTACAACGGTTAGCTTACATTTGCAGGTCGGATGATGCAGATAACTTGAGCTAACTCTGCTGTGAAGATGCACCCAAAGTTTCCAAAAGTGAGCATGCACACAGCCCTCAGTTTAAGGACCTGTCTGATAGGCATTCTCAGAGCATTCCTAAACGCACACAAAATGGAAGAACAGGAGTACTTGTGGCACCTTAGAGACTAACAAATTTATTAGAGCATAAGCTTTCGTGGGCTACAACCCACTTCTTCGGATACATATAGAGTGAAACATATATTGAGGAGATATATATACACACATACAGAGAGCATGAACAGGTGGGAGTTGTCTTACCAACTCTGAGAGGCCAATTAAGTATATGTGTGTATATATATCTCCTCAATATATGTTTCACTCTATATGCATCAGAAGAAGTGGGTTGTAGCCCACAAAAGCTTATGCTCTAATAAATTTGTTAGTCTCTAAGGTGCCACAAGTACTCCTGTTCTTTTTGCCGATACAGACTAACACGGCTGCTACTCTGAAACCTGACAAAATGGAAGGAGGTTTGTGTCCCACCCCTTTTAAACTTTTAGTCCATTAGTTAAGGGCACTCACCCAGGATGAGAGAGAGTTCAGCACCCCTGCTTGATGTGGAGAAGGGATTTGAACTTAAATCTCCCCTGTCTCAGGAGAGTGCCCTAACCACTGGACTATAGAGTCATTCTCACTCTGTCTCAGTGAATATTTTTATACAGCATAGTGCAGCTTGGGTAGGAGAGATTGAGAGACCTGTCCCAGAATACTCCAATGGTTAAGGCAGTCTCCTGGAAGAGCCAGGTTCATATCCCTGCTCCACATGAGGGAGAGGGGAGAATTGAACCTAGGTCTCCCACATCCTAGGTAAGTATCCTAACGAATAGGCTAATAGTAGCACCTGATTCCAGGAGAGCATTCACAAACTGAATTCTGAGTGGAGGGAAGTGCTTTCCGCCAGCCCAAACTTAGTTACCTAAATACCTTTTGAGGAGCAGGGCTTAGGGCAAACTGTCTTCATGGCATTTCCTACTGGCTAGCCTTGTCGCCTACCCTCTTAGTTTGCTGGCTTTGGTGAATTACATTATTAGGTGCCTAATTCTCCCCATGCGTTTTATGAGGAGCTTAGCCACCTAATTCAGGGCTGTGGATTCCACTGAGTGGCAAGGTACCTAAAAATTGGGTGTTGCAATGCTGAGTGTTTCAATGCCTAAGGCCCTTTGTGGATTTAGCCCTAAGTGCCTGTGATACTGTTAGCCAGTCCATTCTCTACACACTTAATGTCCCATTTACAGCATAAAAAAAACAAGTCTAACAAGCACTGTAAAATGTTTGTGGCCCACCTGGCCATGTTATAACATAGTTTGGTATGATTGGTGTTATAACTAAATTTTATTTAAAAAGTGCTTTAGGTCAGGCAAGTAGGCCCTGTCTATGTTAGATGGAAAGGCATTGGCTGCAAACTTGAGTGGAACACCCTGTCTGCACGCAGTACTTTCCCATCATGACCCCATGATGATTGGCTCCAGCACTTGGGATGAAATCTTTTGTGCCACTCTAGCTGAACTGGTGCAACTTATTATGGATTCTCTCTATTTTATTATTAATTATTTTTATTACCATAGTGCCTAGGAGCCCAGTATGCTAGGTGCTGTACAAACACAGCAAGTCCCTGCCCCAAAGAGGCTTACTTTGTATACTTACAGTCTAAGTATAAGACAGCTGGATACAAAGAGATGGGAGTACAAAGAAACAATCAGACAATATTGGTCAGCATGATGCACTGTTTTCTTCCCCCATTTATCAGGTTTGAGAGCAATAGAGGCCTTTCCTTAGTCTTAAGTCTGCTGAGAACATTTCCCATCCCCTGTTCTTTCAGGGCTAAGCATAGTTGAGACATTTGCTGCGCTGGTCTCAACTCTATTGGAGAAACACGGCAGAAGAACATTGTTATAAAAATTACTTAAATTACTGGTGTTTCAAGGAACTGTTTCAACAGCAGTTTCCAGACACCTGAAAGAAGAAAATCAGATATACGATTTCATTCTAATGTCAGCAAAATATCAAATACATTAACTAGACAAAGCTACCTGCTTACCCCCCAAATAAATGGTAAATCTCAGAGCCTGTGATGCTCTATCACTGGTTGCTTCTTGCCCTCCTGCCCTCCCACCCTGGGATGGCTGGAAATAGCCTGGTAGGAACAACTGCATGTGTTGTGCTGGGAGAAGAGTGGTGGACTGTCTGGATCTGATAGTCTTACAGGGAAGAACTGATTACTGTCCAGACCCTTTTCCTGATGATTCTGGTCTCAGGATCTGATGGAAGGAATTACATCACGTGAGCTGAAAATCGGGTCTCAGGACTGCAATCCCCACTTGTCCCAACTCTCCTGGAAGTCAGTGTAACTTTGACTTGAGTTCTGACTGCAGAACCAGAGTCATAAAAGATTAAAAGAATAAATTAAAGAATTGAATAAAATTGTACTACATTAGTGAGCACATGGCTTGCTTCCCCCAGTCACCTATGTGAAGATGACCATGTGTCTTTGTTCTTACATCACTGTAGTATCAGAGTGCCTCCCATGACTGAACATGGCAACTATTTCTTCCTTCCCAACCAGCAAGATACAGGCTAGGCTTTAATTTTTTTTCTACATACACCTCTACCTCGATAAAACGTGACCCAATATAACATGAATTCTGATATAACGCGGTAAAGCAGTGCTCCGGGGGGGTGGGGCTGCGCACTCCTGCGGATCAAAGCAAGTTCGATATAGCGCGGTTTCACCTATAACGCGGTAAGATTTTTTGGCTCCCGAGGAAGCATTATATCGAGGTAGAGGTGTACTTATGAAAGTGCAGGGTATTATTGTGGGGAAGCATCGTGGAAGAGGTGGGTTTTGCATTTAAGCTCCAAATTTAGCAAACTAAGGCTTTGTCTACTCAAGCACTTTTATCTGCAAAACTTTGTTGGTCGGATTTGTGAAAAAACACCCCCCCCCGACGACATAAGTTTCACCACCAAAAGCGCTGGTGTGGACAGCTCTCTGTCGGCAGGAGAGTGTCTCCTGCTGACATAGCTACTGATGTTTGTTGGGGGTGGTTTAATTATGCCAGTGGGAGAGTTCTTATAGGAGACCTTACAGCGGTGCTATTGCAGCGGTACAGCTGTGCTGCTGTAAGGTGCTTAGTGTAGATGTAGCCTTAGTAGTCATTTTCTATTTCACTGGCATTGAGTTCCATAGTCTTGGTCTGCCTCTTATGAAAATTGTCTCAGGCAGTTATGAGATCCCCTTATTTTGAATGTGAATCCTTGCATTGTCAAATGTCATTTAGGGAACATATGGCATACCTGTCATATCAGGTGCTTTTTCTTCATACTTAACACATCACAGATAGTTCCCTCTTGTGTGGATAACACTGGTGATAAGGATTTATCGTACCCCTTATTGATTAACAGTTTTGTTTTTTCCATTGGAGTATAGCACATGTGGGAGGTTATGGTCACAGACAGAGAGAGGACCGTGAACTCAGGTAGTTAGGTCTAACTCCATTCAGGGCTTTAAAGATCAACACAGCAAACACGAACTGGACTCTGTTCAGTGGGGAACCAGTATAGAGAGCATTGAGTCAAGGTAACGTGTTCCCAGCCACCTGTGTGGTGGTATTTGCTACATTGTCTGCCTTGGAATTGACCATGATCTGCAGGGCTGCTGGATACATCTGCAAATGTTATCTCAATCTTACTCCTTTTAAGGGCAAGTCTACACTTAAAATGCTGCAGTGCTTCAGTGAAGACCTTAGTGTGCTGACAGGAGAGCCTTGCCTATTGGCGTAGTTAATCCACTTCCACGAAAGGTGGTAGCTGTGTTGACGAGAGAAGCCCTCCCGTCGACATTGCTGTCTACACTGGCAGTTAGGTCGGTATAACTGCATTGCTCCGAGCTGTGGATTTTTCACACCCCTGAGCGATTTAGTTATACCAGTGTAAGTTTATAATGTAGATCTGGCCTAAGGCTGGCATGAGATTGGTGCAGGATGCTTCCAAGGGTAAACCCTTAAAGCGAAAGCCTGTGTCTGCTACGAATGCTGATCCCTCTGACTTGGTGCCAGTGTGTCAGTATAGATCTGGCCGGTGAAGCCGAGAGCTGTGCCACACATCAGCTCCATGATGCATTCAGGGACTTGGTGCCTGAAGTCAGAGAGCTCTGGTTCATCAGGAAGCTGGTCTTGTGGCGCTTAGATTTGCATGGGGTTAGGAAATTTGGTGTTTCAAAGGTAGTTGAG